AAATCAGTTTTTAATTAGAAAAAAAAACGAAAAAGGAAGATGAATTTTCTCAAGACTACTGTAGTTGATAAATTGTGTGAACACCGAGACGAGATACTGCACAGGTTTTCGAAATGCGAATTTTGGAATCCTTCGACATCACCGATTGCGAATAAAGGGTTGTATTCGTTATTTTTTGACATTTTGCAATGGAAATTGTGAAGAATTGAAAAGGATGTGACGAAAAATGAAAAAAAAGAGAAGAAAGTCGATTGAAAATAGAATTATAAAAAAGTACTGTAGTCCAAAGGCACATGCAGGATTACTTACCTTGCGAGTTCTGAAACATCCAGGAGCCAGAAATCTGCGGCCCGGTCCGGCCGGTCTCTGACATTCCAGCATACTGTAACCCTAAAATTTCCAGACCTCTCCTCATGAGCTCCGCCTTCTCCACACCATCACCACCGGCACCGTCTGGCCTTCAGGAGCCGACGCTTCCAGACGCGCCAGAAGTCCAAATGGAGGCCGAAGACACTGCTGACACTCCAGAAGTCGCTCCAGAAGCCCCAATCCTCGCTCCAGAAGCCTCGGATGCTTCTATGGCTTCTCCAGATGCTTCCCAATCTTCGGATGACGACGCTCCAGGAACGTCTTCTTCTTCGGAAGCAGCACCGACAACTAGCGGAGGGCACTCGGGGGTCATGGATATGGCGACGTTTTTTAGAGTGAGTTGGGCGGGAAGTTCAAATTTTGGTAGGGGTCAAAGTGCGCTCCATTGGAGTTGGACCCTCTAGTCGAGGGTCCGAACCCTGGACGGGGGAACAGCGAACGGCCGAGGCCGAAAAACGCGAGAGCGCAGAAAAGGGGGCGAGGAGCGAGGGAGTGTAGGGGAGGGAGAGACGGAGACAGTGGGTTAAAGGCGCATAGAGATTGATGTAAGTGTCACTAACTTATAAGCTCCGCCCACTTTTGGGTATCAATCTTTAAATTTGAAATTTGAAAAATACGCCCGCCCCTTTTTTCGTTCTTATAGGTGAAAATTCGAAATTTCAGACTTTTGAATTGCTCTGAAAGGGCCTTATAGGCTCCGCCCACTTTTTGAAAATTTTGAAAATTTCTGCCAAACCCAAAATAGACGAATTTCCTATCAATCTTCATTTTTGAATTTCAAAAATAGGCTCCGTCCCCCTTTTAGCCAATCTTGAATGCCTGAAAAATAGCTGAAAATCCAAATTTATCGCCATTTTTCGCTGGAAAGATCACTAACTTATAAGCTCCGCCCACTTACAGGTTTCATTGAGTTTATAAAAAAGCTGAAAATTCAAACATTTCGATTTTTTTCCAATTCCAAGCTATCAATCTTTAAATTTCAGTTTTGAAAGTTAGCGCTTTCAAAATTAGGCCCCACCCCATTTCCAGGCAATCTTCAATTTCTGAAAAAAGTAGCTGAAAATTCATGTTTTTCATGTGATTTTGGCGCCATTTTGCAAGAGTCCAGTGGAAGAAACCGTGATTTCCATCTACTGGAACACCGGAAAAAGAGCGCCAAATTCGAAACATTTGATTTTTAAGCTACTTTTTCAGAAATTCAAAATTCTCCGGAAACTGAGGCGGAGCCTAATTTTGGAAGCGCCTATTTAATAAAATGAATAGCTCAAAATCAAAAATTTGCCTTGAAAGTGGGCGGAGCCTATAAGCTAGTGAGCCCTTCCAGCTGAAACCCCTTCATTTTCTTTTACGGGGAGACCGGAAAAAAAGGTGCCAAATTTAAAGTTTTCCGAAATTTCCTTGTAGCCTAAAAATATAGAAAACTAGTCCACTCTTACTTCAATTAAGCCCCGCTCCTATTAGTTGTTTCTTTTCAAATTCCCGCCTGACGCGCCCCCCTCTTCTCTTTGAAAAAGTACGCTTCTTCCCCTATTTTTGAGAGCTTTTTGACATAATTTCCTCCCATAAATCTTCTCTCTTCTTCAGCAAAACCAAGCGGCCCTCCAAGCCCTGATCTCCGGCAACACGAACGGCGAGAATCCATCGATCGCACTGGCCAGACTGTTCCAATCTCTGAATCCAGCTGGAACTGGAAAATCGGAAACCAGCTCTCCAGGAGGCGAAGGCACCAAGAAGGCTCGTCTGAAGGTCTTCTCAAATGGCTATTTTATGACTTTTGATAAAATTTCCTCATGCCGAAAGAAGCAC